ACCCTGTAGGATGAGCTGTAAGAAAAGTTTTTATATTGTAAATGTCTATACATAGGACAGTTTTTGTTAAGTACACACTCATTAGATATTATATTACTCGGATGGGTCGGAAATTATTCAAATTTGGACCGAGTTTTGGAGCTAAGGCACTTTTGAGTTAGTTTATTTCAAAAAGAGACAACTTTTAAGAAGCCACTCTGTATAATACAAAAAATGGTTTTTACTATGTCTTTTGCTTTTTTAAAATTCTTTTCTTAAAATTCCGTCAATTACATAAAAAAAACGAATTTCTAAATATTAAATTCGGATTTCAACTGGAAGCTCGTGTCTGTTCTTTTTAGTTTCAGGTTTCTCGCATACTAAAAGAGAATTCCTTTGAAAGTCAGAAATCATAGCTTAAAACTGGATTTTAAAACCTATACGGTCTTTTAGGTCTTTGAATCCTGACTATTTTGTTTTTCAAACATAAATTTGGACTTCCAAATTGATTCTGAGTATAAAACAATAAAAAAATAAATTTTAAATCTCACATTATGAATTTGTATATTTAAACTTAAAAATTTTCTTTTTTGTACACCGCGACAGCTCATTTGAGTTAGTACTCAGTCCCCAAAATAGTTTTTCCAGATGAAAAAGTTAATTTGGTTGCTATGATGGCGAAGTTCTTTTAATTAATAAGAGGTGTGAATTCGTTTGTTGGGAGCTTTAACAAAAAATGTTGTTTGCAACACGAACCTAAAACGTTTTTGTGGACTCATCTGCTATTCCAGACTCGTCTTCGCCTCGAACACAAAAACGGTATTTTAGATATACTTGTAACAAAAAGAACTATTTTTCGTAAAAGAAGAACAACTTTTTAATTTTAAAATTATCGCTTTTTAAACTTACAATTGCCATTTCTCACTTGAAATTTTTTATTAAAATCGGAGAAAAAATAAAACAAAATTCCAACACACAATGATAAGATTGAATCGTAATCTGGATAGTAGTCTTATTAATGTCCCGAAGATGCCAATTTGGTTGACAAAACACGTGTCGACGTTCAATAAAAAGTCTGATGTATTGGGATCATGTCTCATTTATTTTTCTGTTTTGAAAGTTTTGATTTTTCTAAAGTTTTGTGAAGTTAAAATGCTGAATTTTTGTTAAACCTCAAAATTTTCGTCTTACAACTTTGAAATTACTTTTAAATAAATTAATTTTTTGTTAATTCTACCAATTTCATAGTTTCATCATTTATTAATCGAACTTCTTTTTGAAATGTAAAATAGCAATTTCCAGATGTGAGTTTATACATTGCAATTCTAAAATCAGAACTCGAAACTTTGAGTTAGAAAATAAACAAAAAAATTACGAAAAATTTCTAAACTAGCAATGACGATACCTCATCCAAGTTTTTTTTTTTAATTTCAAAAGACATTTATACGCGACTTGGGGCTTTGAAAACTAGTAAAATTCGACTCAGGTCCGAATTGTTGTTAGGTCTCTTGGATGAAAATTAACTTAAAAAATAATGGAACTCACTCGAAATTGCGACATAAAAGAAATTAGAATTCAGTTTTTTCTAAATTGCAATTAAAGTTGCAATTTTGCTCATTTTGTAAACTTTTTTCAACCCCTAAAATCCAGAATTTCAAACTAATCTCCTAGTTCAATTTTTGGGAAGTCTGAAACGTAATTCTGGCGTTTTAACGATTTCAGAATTCAAGACGAAATTCGAAATTTTCGCACTTGAATGTAGACTCAAAATATTGAAAAAAAAAAAAACTCAAAAATATGAATTCTACATTCAAAATCCAGTTTTAATTTCTGCTTTTACAGCTTTGAATTTTGACATAAAATTATTTAAAATCTAGGAAAGTAAAAATTCGTACTTCTGAACCGGGAATTGTCATCAAAATTCTGAATATAACTTTAACTATAAAATTGAAATATAATTTTGTAAACGCAAAATTTACAATTTGTAACTTGATTAAAAGTAGTTTTTTCTAATAAATAAAAATGACTTAACTCCATATTTGACTAACTTAATCTGTTATCGTTCCTAATACAAATAGATGTAATTCAAATTTGAATGTTTTACCGGCCGGTCCTTCACTTTAGCTTGTGAAATAACCCATCTCATTACTCTAATTCTATGGTAGCTCAGGGCCACTCACTTCCACTAACAATAGAATTACGAATACAATATATTTAGATATAAACTGACCAACATCACTTTATACTTAAGAAAAACCACAGACGCAATCAAAGCCGACGTTTCGTCGTGCCCATCATCAATGTTATTTTTCCCAATTGCCCCGAAAGATGTCGCTTATACGTTACAGTTGTCTATAGTTATTTTCGACGATTAGTTGAGTGCCAATTTACCAAATAGACACTAGTGATGTTGTTAAGTTTTTGTATTTTATATATTGACTATGCAAGAAAAACTTATTATTTCCATTGTGATTTATGACTAGATTTTATGTATTCATAGGTGCACCACACAACTAACGACTCCATAATCCATGTTGTAAGTCCATATTTGTTACAAATAGTAAATAATAATAATTTTACAAAATGTTATCGATTTTTTATTAAGTACACAACACACGATTGTCACAGCCAATGACAGCCGTCGGTGCGACACGCGGACGGCTCTCATTGGCCAAGGAGCGAGAAAGGTGGGTTCAACCATGACTTAAGCCAGATGTAAGTTTTCTTTCGTAACCGATCGTTATTTTTGATATTTTTTTAACCTGCTTGGAGTATTCTTAATCTACACTCGATAAGACGCATAAGGAAACTGACATTAGAGTTTTAACGCAACTTTCGAAATCATTTCGCACCAGAAAAATTCAAACTTAGCGAATTCATGTATTATGCAAAATAGTAGAATTACAATGAAGTAGTCACGGTTTTTTTAGTTGAGTACCTTCGTTGGTTACCTTAGATATTTATTTATGTAATGTTCCAAAAATTGTCAGACTCATCCTTTATTTTTGCCATTATGTCTGCAATGCTTACTGTTATAAAAGAAAATGCATATCATAGCTGTAAAAACCATTTTTGACAAATAAAATATGTATAAATAGATGGACTTTTTAATCCACCCGACCGACATTTCAAATATTTAATTCATTTCATGGAAAATCCATCACTGAAATATTTATTTTGCCGATTGTGTTACGTGCAAATAATACCTAGACTAACTTTTCACTGTTAATTTTTAAAGACGAGTTATCGCACTCGCAGTGTTTAAATCGATCTATTCTCTTCAATTATTTAAAACATGTGACGATTTCGATTCACGCAGTTTTGAAATTTTTATTCCACTTCCCAGTACTGCAATTAGAGATGTTTAAACAATCAGACTTGAGGAAATCGTGGTTAATAAGTAAATAAAGGCCTTGACAATTTATTTCCAAGTAGTCAACCATTTATATAGAAAAAATCATCAATAATTTTCATTTTCCCATTGTTCATTTACCATGCCTTCAAATAAATTTCTGATCAAAGTGACCTTTGACGTTTGAATTTTGTACTTTATGTTGCGAACTTCACAAAAATATTTTTTTTTTCTAAAAGCAAATACATAGTTTAAAATTAGGGGCCGTTAACTCTGGAATTAGTTGTACTTTTTGGAATTTAATCGATAGTGCTTAGAATTATTTGTGAATTAGTGAAATTTTTTGGCATTACTGTTTTTTTTTTCGGAATTATCAAAGTTAATTTCTTTTGAAAATTACATCAAGTTCTGAGAACTATCGGAATTAATTTGGAGTTACAGTAATTATTTTAAAAATTTTAAGATTTAAGGTAGCAGTTCGAGGTTATCTTAATTGACATAATCGTGTTTCTCAAGCGATTTTACCGCTAGAAAACTGCATTTTGCTTTTTTTCCAACGTTATTTGATATTTTTAAGCAAAAATTGAAAAAAAATGTTTTTTGTGTGTGTTATGATTTTTTTAAGTTCCTAGCACCTCTAGAAATATGGAAAACGTCAGTTGGATCGATTTTAAAGTTTTTGATTTTTCAAAATTTTGACCGAACCATTTGGTTCTTCGTTCTTATATTTAATACCACTGGAAAGCTCTTTTAATTTCCAACCTTACGAAAAAATGATCATAGACCTATGACACGTAGTTGCCCGAAACAAATATGCAAAAAAACTGTAAAAAAAAAACAAAAAATTGATTTCTCGAAATTAAAAGTTGTGAGATCTACGAAAAAATTAAAAAAGTTGTTGGAATCTGCATTAAATTGTCTATTGAATGGGAAAACCTGGAGTCGATCGGAGTTATAGTTTTGGCTTGGGAAGCAACTTTAGTTTATTAATTTTTGAAAAAAAATAAACTAAGGGTCTTAGTCAAATTCTCCGGACAATTTTATATAAAAGGCTGTATAAATTTAAAATTTAGAGAAATTAATTTGGAGTTATAGGAATCAATCTGAAAACAAGGATTTTACGATGGATTATTAGAAATGTTGAAATTTAGGCGGATTTTTTTTTTTGGAACTACAGGAATTATTTTGGAATTGGAATTATTTTAGAATTTTGTAACGAAAATTAAGATGAAATTACGGAAACTTAGTTGGAATTATAGGAATTAATTTGGATTTATAGAAATTAAACTGAAAACAATGAAATTACTGGGACTTCGGTGGAATGTTTTTGGAATTTCGATTAACTTTTTTGGAATTGGAACTACACATTTTTCAAGTTAACGGCCCTTCGGTTTAAAATGCTTAGTTCGAATTTTTTTATAACTTGTAACTTTCTGAAGCTGATTAGTAGCTACCTACACAAACAAATCTGAATACCAAATCATGATTTGAAGTTAAAACTCAAATTTAAGTCAAAATTTTGAATTTCAAAAAAACAAACTACAAGGACATAGGTACAAATTTTTCATAAGGGTAATTAATTTTGTTTGCAGCGTGTCATGAATATTTTTTTTATCAAAACATTTAAACCGGGGTTGTCCCAAAAGTGTGAACCCTACCTCTTTTTCAGACCTCCGTGGACATTGACCGGCCCTCCAGCTCGCCCCACGAACGCCCCTCCAGCACCCAAAGCAGCCGTTCGTCCACCCCATTCGCCCTCCCCTTTCCCTCTCTCCCCACCTCAATCCTGGAAGTGGGCCTCATCCACCCGTCCCTCCTCGGCGAGGAGATGTTCCGTTGTCCGTCGTGCATGGCCGCCTTCCCCTCCATCTGGCTTTTAGAGCAACACACCGCCCTTCAGCACATCGGCTCCCTCAACTCCTTAGAAAAGCCCTTTATTTGTGAGCAGTGTGGCCAGAGCTACAGGTACCGATCGGCCTATGTCAAACACCGGGAGCAGAACCATAGGGCACGTCTCCCAGCCGATAAACTCTTCTCCTGTGACGTCTGCGGGATGCAGTTTAGGTACCTTAAGTCGTTCAAAAAGCACAGATTGAACCACGCTTTGGAGAAGTTGCATGGGAAGAGTGGGGATGTGGGGAGGGTAGGGGCGGTGGAGGAGTCCAAGAGTGTGGATAACAGCAGCGATCAGGTGTCGAGCTCAAACGAGACCATTGTTTTGGAGGGGAAGGACGAGGGGGTGGTGGTCAAAAAGGAGGAGAGTATGAACGATGATGCTGGTAAGTCCACCACTTTTACAAATTTCTGTAATTATTAGCATTTGCAATGATGATTCAGCTGAAAAATTTTGCACTCTCCTAACGACGTAATAACCGATGTAAAAACTCAAATACGTATGTTTTTATAACGTCTTAATCGGTGTACACGTTTTTATTAATTGTCTAGTTGGTTGCTACATGTGAAAATATATCAAGATGTCGGGATAAGTAATAAGAAAATGTACGAAGGAACATTCCCATACCTTAAAAAATATATGAATGATGATTGTTAATTACCGGTTAGTGGTAGTGCTGTATTTACGCTTTAATGAGCAAAATTCTAGAAGCTAGTACAGTTACATACCAGGTGAATAAAAAGTATGGAACCAAACGTTTTTTGCTTAAACTATTTATTTTTTGAAAAAACTAATTGATGAGTGATAAAGTACTATAAAAATGTGATGATTTAACAAGAATAAAAATTTTCGAAATTTCCTTTTTTTTTTAAATGACAACCCACTATAAAATCATTTTTCTCATAAAAGCTATACTCTAAGGATTACAACTATCTGCTTTATATTTAATTTTTTCAAAAAAAAATTTTCACATAAATTGCAATTTCGACAAAAAAAATTGCATAACTCAAAAACAAAACAAAATTTCGTTCTGAAAATACGATCACATTTTTTATATTACTTTAATTTATATTAATTATTATTTTCTGCAACCAAATGATTAAAAATAAAACCGCTTGGTTCCATACTTTATATTCACCCTGTATTTTGCAATTTATTCACCGTTGAGGCCCCAAATCTCATTTCAGATGCAACGACTTTTCTAATTTTGTGCAAGTTTTTTTAACGAATTTTTAAATGTCACACATGTATCTGTTTTAAATGCTAGATGCATTTATGCTAATGTGTTACAAGCAGTCTGTTTTAAATGTCATTTGATTACATTTATGAAAAATAAAACAAAACTGCGATTTGGGACAACTAACATTGAAATTGCGACCTCGAAAATTAATGAATATTTCTCCAAATTATATTCAAAAAGACCAAAAACTTTTAGTTACTCTCGGAATTGTAACCAAAATTTTATGCTAACTTTCCTTAGGTAAGCAATTTTAATTAATTAAGTAAATAATTTTTATCAATTAAAGAGGTACTTAATATAAAAATAAAATATGAAAAAAAAACTACTTATTTCCCTAAAAAACCTGAACTACCTAAAGTAGTAATATTTCTCAAAGAAGCTTTCAATTATTATGTACTTATTACATAGTCGTACTATGATGCGTTTTATTGATTGCATTCATCTTTCATACACGTTAAAATTTCATTTCAATTACTCTATGTCATATAATTACGTAATTATTTTTTAATGTTAAAATAATTAGCCATTTAATTAAACATGTACTTGTTTTTTTAACGAAATAACATCCACTGAAGGAATATGTTGAAATAAAAGGAAAAATATACGTGGTGTTTCATCTTTGCAAAAAAAAAAAAAACAAAAAAAGAACACTGGTTTTATAAAGCCAGAGCCTTCTCTAACCTGGATTTTAATAATAATTACCTAGACACATACAGGGTGTTTCATGACTATAGCACAAATTAAAATCTTGGTATTTTAAGTAGTGCATCGTTTTAGTTAAAGTGAAAAAATATTCAAAAATTTACAAGTAAAAAAGTTAAAAGTTACAGTTTCGCAAATAGTAACAGAAATGTGAACAATTCTATTAAGAATTTCATAATTCTATTTAAAGGAGTATTAAATTAAAAGTTATTTAGAATTTGCTAATTACTACAGACGTAGTAATTCTAAACCAACATTAACTTTAAAATCTGTTTTATTCGTTTATGAAACTGGCCCTAACTCAATTAACGTTGGTTCATACAGGCTGTTTCAAAAATGCAAGTTATTCAACTATGTTTTCATATGGAACATTCTGTATATGGTATCTTCTTTGCTCTTACTCAAATCAAAAATTTTATCTAATATTTAACAGTATGTATAATAATGTATACTCATTGTTATTTACTTTTCCAGTGTTTTTATTAAATTTTTGTCACAACTCGCGCCCCAGAAAAAAAATTCCAGTAAGATCAGGAACATGAAATAAATGTTTAAAAAATTCTATCTGTCAAAAAATTTTGACATTTATTTTTTGACATTTGATATTTTTTTGATGATCTTGTATGTCTTTTTTTATAATTATTTAGTAAAGGTAAAAAAATTTGCCAATAAAAGCCACAAATATCATTAAACAGAGTTACAATTTAGGATACAGCTTCCTTGTTTCCTGTTCTAATAGCCTGTAGCGAAAAAAACTTGGAAAATTATTTTTCCAACAGAAATAAATAAAGTCAAAGTGCAAAATTTAAACTCTCATAACTTCGAAATTTTTATAGATAAAATTTTATAACATTTTTTCCATATTCTTGGTATCATACCTTAGATGGCATTTTTCTCTGGGGCGCGAGTATAATAGAAGTTTCCTTTTTAATTTCTAGCCAACAAGTAAATGTCAAATTTTACACAAAATTGGAACAAAGTTAGAATTTTACAGCTTTTTTGTGTAGTTACTCATTTTTTGAGTAATTATTTATGAAAAATACATACAGGGTGAATATAAAGTATGGAACCAAGCGGTTTTATTTTTAATCATTTGTCTCCAGAAAATAATAATTAATATAAATTAAAATAATACAAAAAATGTGATCGTATTTTCAGAACGAAATTTTGTTTTGTTTTTGAATTATGCGATTTTTTTTGTCAAAATTGCAATTCATGTGAAAAAAAAAAATTTTGAAAAAAGTTAAGTATAAAGCAGATAGTTGTAATCCTTAGAGTATAGCTTTTATGAGAAAAATGATTTTATAGTGGGTTGCCATTTAAATTTCTTTTTTTTTTTGTAGAACTCAAAAACAAAAGGAAATTTCGAAAAATTTTATTCTTGTTAAATCATCACATTTTTATAGTACTTTATCACTCATTAATTAGTTTTTTCAAAAAATAAATAGTTTAAGCAAAAAACGTTTGGTTCCATACTTTTTATTCACCTGGTACCTAATTGAATTTGTTTAAAAGAAAGACAAATGAGATTTCAAAAAAAAAATTAAATTATTTATAAAACTAGCATTTTAAACAGACAATTTGTACTACAAGGCAGGAAAGTGTATTTATTCCTCCCTGCTCCTCCTTTTTAATACAAATAACTATTTACTACGACTCTTTAATTAACGTAAAGTTAGTTTTTGGTCCATAATTTCAGAAAGGAAAGTGGACAATTACCTCCCAGGGAGGTAAAACTTTTAATCATTGTTAATATAGGTACAGGATGTACCAATATGTTTTGACGTAAAAATAAAACACAATCATCGCTATCAATCCGTATTTATTATCAAATTGTAATAATTGTTTTAGCACTCAAATGCGTACTTTTAAAACTTTGTACACGCAAAATATCATGCGTTTAACTTTATTAATCAAAGTGGCCTATGGCTTAAAAATAAATTGGCAACATTAACTAACAATGTAGAGGCAGAATGTTGCCAACTCAATTACAAAAGATTAAAATGGCAACATTGACTAACGATGCAAAACATAATGTTGCCAACTCAATTCCAAAAATATTAAATTGGCAACAATAATTAATAATGTGGAGGCAGAACGTTGCCAACTCAATTTTAAAATCACAGGCCACTTTGATAAAAAAAATTGCTTGAATATGGTAAAAAACTGTTGTTTATTGAAGGTGAGGGTGCGTCATCGGACGCCGAGAAACCCGACGCCGACCAGGACGACACCATCGACTCCATGGCCGTCTCGTACCCCGTTTCGTCCGGCACCGGTCTGGACATCCTCCGGAGCAGCCACGACCCCTCCATCATCAGTTTTTTACGCGCCGATGCCGCTGAAAAGCAACGCGAGCGCCGTTTCGCGTGCCCCTTTTGCGGCAAATGCGTCCGCTCCAAGGAGAATCTGAAACTCCACGTGCGAAAGCACACCGGCGAACGGCCCTTCGTGTGTTTATTCTGCGGACGTGCCTTCGGCGGAAAGAGCGACCTGACACGCCATCTACGCATCCACACTGGCGAAAGACCCTACCATTGCGACATGTGCGGGAAGTGTTTCGCGCGTGCTGATTACCTCTCCAAGCACTTGACCACACATATTAACACTTCCCGCTGATAGTACTGGCAAAAAGGGGCGCGTGGTGACATCTAGGCTGCCGGAACACAACTGCCAATCACGCGTTGCCACGAACGGTGCGTATCCATTGGAGGGTGGATTAATGACGTTTTGCGCCAAAATATGACATTTCTATAGAGGTTCAAGAAGATATAGTGACATATTTTTTTGATATATTTTCTGCATTAATAGCAAATTCTAATACGTTTGGGAATTTTATCGTCAAGTTGGTAACGAATTTGAAATCTTACTTAGCCAACTTGACTAGTAGATTGAAACTTCACAGTTTTATAATAAATACGAAGGGAAGTCAATAACTCACTGTTGAAAAAAAGATTGTTTTATTTGTCATTTAGTAGTGCCAGTATTTTATTATTCTTTAAATAGAAAAAGTACTTCTTTTGTAAAGCACTATTATGTATGTGTTAAAATACGATCACTTATTTCTATTATGTATGTGTTGTCTTTACGTTTCGATTTAGTAGTAGTAGTTAGTGGTAAAATCGAATAACTAACAATGGAGTTACAGTTTGAGACATTTTTTGTCAAACACACTGTATTGTAATGATTACAACTTTTTTTAATTTCGAGTGATAATATTATTACGTACATGAACTATTTTTGTAGTTTGAGGTAATAATAACTTTTAGTCCGTAAGGAAGTTCTTTTCAGATTTCATATGTCATTCAAAATCGACCATAAAGTGAATATGATGTGTAATGGTTGCATATTTGAAATATTTAATTAACTTAAAACATTATTTAAAAATTTTTCTGAAATTCTAATGTTTTTTTTTAACATTCACATGGATTTTCTTGATAAAAAATAACTTTGCTGTAATGTTATAAACACAAAAGGCTACTTTCTTCAATATTTTGTAAGCAATTTTGCGAAGAACATTTCAGCTTCAAAAAAAAATCGCTATTAAAACAATTTTTTTAGAAAAAAATAACTATAATAATGGGGAACTTCTACGAATGCGCGAGAATTTCAAAGAACTGTTTAATAATTATTATAGTAGCGCCGTTATATTATTTGATCTGCCCCACTCACATAAAATAAACAATCACAGTTAAACTCTGATTTCATAGGTACAGTTAAAGACAAAATACTTTGGTCGTCAATGTCACTTGAGTGGCATTAAATTGTAAAGCATGCTTTAGGACTGTTAACCTTATTTTTAGCTACTGTCAATCACAGTTGACAAGTTGTACATATTTTTGATAGGAAAATATAATAGCTGTCATTAACTTGAAATTGTCATTTATTTTAACATTCAAACTTGAATTACATTAAAGTGCCAGAAAAGTGACGACCAAAGTATTTTGTCTCCAACTGTACCTACAACAAAATTAAAAACAAATCGAAAATAAAATTTAATTCAAATCGTCAAAATTAATGCCAAAATAACCAAATTTATAATAAAATTTTACAAAACGTTTTAGAATGTAGAAATAAAAAATTTATAAAAATTTTCAATTTAAATCTGACCGCCTCGGAAATGTATTTCATTGGTTGCTAAGAAAACCGAAAGGGCGGGGCAGATAAAAAATAATCCCGGCTTCAGTATAAATAGTATTAACAATTAAAATTATTTCATAATCGTTATTAAGTAAAAACTGAAGTTGAATAGTAACCGAAATCGTCATTTTTTAATGACTTTGTTGAGATTTACGATCGGATTCTATTTGTCTACAACAGAAAAAGTAGGAAAATACACAAAAAAAGTAAAAATCGTGTAAAGTTGTACGTTTTATCTTTATCTGTACACGCCCAAGAGGAAATTTTGTAACGTTCACAATGTGTAATTTGACAATTATGTTTTTGACAATTTGCGTTTTTTTTACTTAAGTGTAAGTTTATTTTTAGGAAATTATTGTCTCAGTTTAGTAGATACAAGAGAGCAAAATTTCATTTTATAAAATAAACACGTGATTTTGAAATCCCCTATAAATTTTATTTTGAAAAAAAGGTGATTATTGTAAAAATTGAATTCAAAGAAGCGTTTATTTAGAATTATTTTTATTTACATGGTATGTCAGGTTTAGGAAATATGTGTTGTCAATAACCATAAATTGGATGTGAATAAAGTTACAACTGAGTTGTAACTTTTTTTATTGGACACATTTAGTAAGGTTGGCAACGCATACTTGTTCCAAGTAAATCCTCTATAGAAATGTCAAATTTTGTCGGAAAGTGTGATTTTTTCTCCAATCAGATGATACGTCCTCGCTCGAAAGCATTGGCGGGCTATTTAAATTTTTGGTGCTTTTCGATGCTTTGTTTCAGGTTTTTGGTTGGTATTTGTCCACAAATGAATGTTTTCCGTCCTTGCATTTTTGTTTTGATGGCTGTGAATTTGAAAGTGTTATAGTTTTTTAACTTGGTCGAGAAGCGTTTAGTTATCGCGCATATTTTGGGAGAATATGTGCCATCCCTAAACTAGCCATTAGATGACGTAAGCGATATTAGTGAGCTAGCAATTAAAGCAATATTTAGTGAAAACAGATGATAAATAATTTGGGGAAAAATCGGGTTGATCGTTCCTTCTAGTCATGACGGTAGTTAACTGCTGTGGCCTTGTTCCAGTATTAATGTCCACAAAAATGATAACTTTGTACACGGAAACATCGAATATGAATCTTATAACTGATTTAAGTATAACTGATGGTTTATTATGTAGTTTTGTGCCAATTCGATGTACCTCATGACATTCTGTGTTTAGATGGTGTTAAAATATTTACAATGTAATTAAGCTAAACGTTTCTTTTCATAGTGTATAAATTAAATGTTTAACATCGAATTTCTACAGAATTATTTTTTTATACGCACTATACAACAAGACGATGTCCATTAATCCGTATTGCCAAGAATTATTTTTTATACATGTAATAGATAAGTTTCGACGATGCTCAATACAATCACATCAATAAGTACCTAATGGCCATAATACTGATGTTAAACATTTAGCCACTTTTTTTATACCTCTAACTTTTAAAATACTTTAGGACAATTTTACATCTTGTAAATGTTGATGGTGCCTTTTCAAATATTTTATTGATGAAAATTCATTTTTATCTCAGCTACGTCACTCATATTTTACCGGAATGTCTCAAACAAGATTTTATTTATGTCTTTCACAAATGAAATATTTGCTGTGATAATAACGAATCAACTCTTTTCAAACACCACCACATTACAATTCGGTTGCATCTTCTTGTAAAAATGTTTTTTCATCCTGAAATTTGTACAACTTTGTCCTAAAGTAGGCATACTTTGATCATTAAAATAGTTATATAAATAAATGTTCCTAATAAATGTGATTAGGTGTTATCGACTATGTATATTGTTATTGTCATATTCTATATTGAAACAAGAATTTTATTTGGAAAACTGTCCAAAAAACGAGTCAAATGATGCAAAGGAGGGGCATAGACTTAATCTCTAAAATAATAATTGTGAAAATTAAATGTTTCTCTCGATGTACGTCTATACCTATGCTACATTATCTCATAGTTTTCAATGGTTACTTTTTAATATAATTTATTTCAATAGTTATTATTATACAAAATAAATGTAATTTTTTTCTATTCGTTCATTAAAAGGGAAAAGTTTTGTTCATTGCACAGGTTTTCTTCAACCCTACAGCTTGTACAAGACAATCGATTTATATTCACTAACGATTGATTATACCACGAGTTTCCGGGCTCTCCTTTGCTTCCACTTCCTTAAACCCAAAAAGCCTGTACGCTGAAAATGTCCGACAGACGAAACTGGTCGCCGCCTTTTGAATCTTCCGCGAAGTTCTTACAATAAAAAAGCATATGGAAAGAGCGAGCTTTACGTCAACTTTCTATGATTTATAATACGATTTTATTTTTTAATATTTGAATAAGCATCTCAGTTATTATATGATATGATTTTTAATGTCTTTTTTTTCTATTTTATAAAAATATTAAATAAATCCTCTACTTTTACTAGGTACTTTAAAGTATTATCAATTCTCTTTCAATAAAGATTTTGTTTTTCAGCTTTCCAAGCTTTTTTATAGATTTTTTTTAATGCTATTATCTCATTTTTAACATTTTATACCTATTTAATGATACTGATAATCTTGTATATTTTTTTTTATAATTATTTAGTAAAAGTAGAAACACAATAATTTCGCAAAATTTCGTTAAAAACAATCCAAAAATTCAACAAATTCGACCAAAAACGACGTTATTTTTGCCTTTTCCAAGTGTTTAAGCACGTTTTTGGGATAAAAACAAAGGAAATTTAAAAAATTTCGTTGAAGCAGGCAAAAAAATTACAAAACCAAATTGAAATTGGTCTTGTTTCGCTCGACTTACTTCGTTCTTGAACCAGAGGCTCATTTATTTTGCAAAATCTTGTCCAAACACGTTTAAAAATCATAAAAACAACTGTTATTCATGTTATTTTGTTTGTTTCACTCGATTTAACTCGTTTTTGAGCAAAATAAGACAAAAATAAGCCGAGAACGTTTTTGTACTACAATCCCAGGTTGCGAGATTGGCTAAAACGAACTAAAAAATCAACAAATTAAGTAGAAAATTTCATTGATTCTGCATTACTTGAAAGTTTTAGCATGTTTTTCAGCTAGAAACTTATTCGCAAAATTGGTTTTAACCAATTGTTTGGCTTGTTTTTAAACAAGCCAAAAAACACAGGCTTAGGCCGAAAATGATATAATTTTTTTAATTTTTCGAAAGTTCAAGCAAATTTTTAAGCTGAAAACTCTGTTTTTTCACGAGAGTTTGCCATAGCGTGTCAAAAATCACTAAATTGTTATAAAAAAGATCATATTGTGATATTTTTTACCTAACTCTTAGGCTGTAACTTGATTATTTCGTCAAATTTTTCTCCACCAAATTGGAGCCAAACAGTTCTGTTTTTTTTTTACAAAATATTACTAAATATAGTCAAAAATGACAATTTATTTTAGTTTTTTCGAATGCTTCTTCAGTAAGAAACACAATTATTTTGCAAAACTTTGTCAAAAACTAGCCACAAATTAAACAAAAAAGCTCAAAGGCGGCGTTTTTTATCTTTTTCGAGTGTTTAAAGATGTTATGGACAGATAAAAACGAAATATTCTATTGACACGGGCTAAAAAATTACAAAATTAAATCGAAATCGAGATCATTTTTTAGTTTGTTTTGCCCGATTTACTTCGTTTCTCTGAACCAGAGGTTTTTTTGCAAAATCTTGCCCCAAACACGTTATTTTTTTATTTTGTTTGTTTCACTCGATTTAACTGGTTTTGAGCAAAAATAAGCCGAGAAACCACAAAATTTGGCCGAAAATGCTTTTGAGTACGTTTTTGTACTAAAATCTTAGATTTTTCGCTAGATTTCGCTAAAACAAACTAAATACCCAAGAAATTAAGTCTAGAATTTTCATTTTTCAGCTAGAAACGCAATTATTTCGCAAAGTTTTATTGAAAACAAGCCGAAAAATCACAGAATTAGGCCGAAAACCATGTCATTTTTGCTTTTTTCAAGATTTTAAGCAGATTTTTAAGCCAGATTTTGCATACAAATCGTAATCTGATGAAAATTTGGCAAATTTTTCAACTCGGACCTGGTGAATTTTATGTTTTTGATCTGGCAACACTGCGTTAAATATCGTCAATTAAAGGATTTTTAGCTGCAGCGTTACAAAAAGAAAATCCAGACACAGTCATTCCAAATCACTTTGTACTTTTTTCAAATAAATTCAAGTGTTTCTTGTTAAATTCAAAGGCATTAGACAATACATAATTAAAACGCGAATAAAAATATTGAAAAATTCGATAGTTGTATGTAGTAAAAAATATATTCTTTAATAATCGTAAGGCAAATACATACATCATAAGGATAAAACTATAAAATATTGCTGTATAAAATACAAAAAATAAAACTATTAAGTATCGAAATACTTAAAAATACTTTCGTACTATTTTGCACCACAATCACAATATTTCTGTTTAACAATTTGGAATGGGTATGGCACTGGAAAAACCCAATGAATTTAAAGCAAATCTGAATACTTGTAAGTAGAGATACTTAAGTCAAAATGGCAAACTCACTTGACTAGACTCTTTTTGGTTTACTAATAACCGCATACGGCTCATTGTTGTGAAAATCATGATCGACATTTTTCAACTCTTTCCCTGAACTTTTCCTCACCAGTGCATACCCTAGATGCTTATCATCAGCCAATCTGATCTCCTCCATAGCCGGCTGGACCTCATCGTAATCATTAAACGCCGGCGCTGCAACCGTATTCAACCCCGACGCCACCGAAATCTGCTTATACCCCGACTTCACATTCAACTTATTCGACGAGCCAAAAAAGTTCAACTTGTCGTAGTTATCCTCAATCGAGGTCTGCGTGATGATTTTGGGGGCTCTGTGAGCAGGCATGACATTCGGCGCTGTCTTCTGGTCCCCCCACGACGTGTATACTTCGTCGTCGTCGCCCATACCCGGATTTTCCGTGTGCCTAACCTCGTCGACGCCTAGGGTTTTCCAGGCGTCGTTTCGATACTCGATTCGATCGTACTTGTCGATGGGCTCGTAGGTGTTTATCTGTTTGGTTGCGAGAGATTTTCGCGGAGGTTTCACTGGCTTCGGGCGGTTTTTCTTCTCGCTGTCGAGGATACTAGATGTGGATGATGTGCTCGAGTCAAGGTCGTGGAGATTGGTCGAGGCGGTAGGCGAGGGAGGCAAGGGACTGCGAGATCGGGCCTCCATACTGAGAGCGGCGTGGAATTGGTTCTCGCCACATTCGAGCAGTGGCACGGAAGGGTTAGGGTCTTCTTTGAGGAGTTTCTTCATGGATTTCATTTTTGAAGAGAGGACTCTGAAATTGTTTGCAAATTTTCAAAAAAATTACAACAGGATTTGTCCATTTACTTGATATTACCAATAGATAAAAAACACAAAATCCTTGCTACAAAAGACCGTGCTATATATAGTGTAAGTAGTGTTCTAAAATTGAATGAAACTAATTTTTACAATTGTGAAATATTTCATGAAACTTTTGAAATACTTTAAACTTTCGGATTTTTTACACTTGTCAAAGATGTGACGTTTATTTTAAAAATATGTAAATAATAAGAAAATAATAATGAAAAACGAACGCCACTGGTAAGAGTAAAAGTAAAGTACAGTTTGGTCGTCACTTTTCTGACACTTTAATGTAATTCAAGCTTTAACGTTAAAATGAAAGACAATTTCAAATTAATGATCGTGTTTTGAAAATGAAATTTTGTTTTGTTTTTGAGTTACGCGGTTTTTTGTTTGTGAAAATGACAACTTATATGAATTTTTTTAAATATAGATACAATGGGTTGCAATTAATTTTGAAAAATTAAAAACTGCAAAAACAAAACAAAATTTTGAAAAATTTTATTCTTGATAAAACGTCCCATTTAATTTAATTTTTTTAGTTATTTCAATGGGTAGTGTGATGAGTTGATTAATTTTTTCATAGTACAGTTGGAGACAAAATCCTTTGGTCATCAATGTCACTTGAGTGACATTCAAATGCTTTAGGACTGTTAACCTTATTTTTAGCTACTGTCAATCAAAGTTGACAAGTTGTATGTACAATCTGCTTCAGAAGTAATGACACAAAACTCGGCTCTCGAGTAGTTCGACGTTTCAGATGGGATGGAGCCGATGGTCGGCAGTTGTCGGTTTTCCGGCATTGGGATGGGTCGATGGAGAGTTGACGAAAATTGATAAATTGTTTGCTCAAATTATTAAGAATTTTGACTATGAGTAATCACTTATCGCATTTGAGTTTTTTTGAAAGGAATACTCGTAAAATAATATTTGAAACGTTTCTTTAAAATTAAAAATTGATCTGATTATGGTTTTGATGTCCAAAGTCACCATTTCACAAAATAATTAATTTATTGTTTTATTTACCAATAAATTTATTAATTAATGTAGAAGTTAAGGGTTGCTTACTATTTATCAACAGTAAAGGATTTCATGTGATTTTGGTGAAATTTTTCACAGAATTCGAGTTGTGACTTCATTTTCAATCAAATAAAATTTTTACAGCAATTCCTAATATTCCAAGTCAAGGAGTGCGGTTTAAATTTATAGGTTGGCCCTAATTATGCCGCTGAGTTGGGTTTATTCCAGGCAAAAATTTGTCCTTAAGGGTGTTATTGGTCTGAAACCTTTTTGCCCTGTGTATTAGAATCCCCATAATAAACATAAAATGTCTTAGGCAAATAACACCCTCAACGAGAAATTTTTGCCTGGAATATATTGAAATCACTGTTAATTTTCAATTCTTTACCTAAATCCACCTTTATGTAAAGAATTAACAAGTTTTTACTTATTTCAAAAGCTATCGATTAAAATCAAAAAATAGGAATCTTTAGCTTTACTACTTTATCATTTATAATTCAGTTTTTTGAAAAAGTGTAGTAATTTACAAAATAATTTTTTTCCTTCCATTAGGCGACAAAGGATTAAGACAGATACTCGTATCTTACAACTTGGTCTGGTAACTGTGATTTGGGGCGGTCATTATCGTATCGTATAAGACATTGTAAATTTCGAACTTAGGGCGGTATACATTTGTCCAATAGCGGCAACTTTTATATAAATATGACATTAGGGCTGATTTACTGAAAGCGAATTAAAATTTAATTCAGTCTTTTAAACTAATTCGAATTAAGTTGCCATTTACGTTTAAGAACAAATGTCACATCAGTTACAAATTAAAATGAACAGATTAATTAAGTTGAGGTGGCCTTGTTCACTGCTTTGTTTCTTTCTATTATTCGAAAGTTTTATCAGATAGCAAACGGTCATAGGTAAAGGATTTCATATGAATTTGGTCAAATTTTTCTTAGAAAACGTTGACAATGTGCCCGCAAACCATCCGTTTCCATTCAGTAAAAATTTGTCATTCAGTGGTCAAAGGTTAAGTTCGAAATTTACGATACGATACGATAATAACCGCCCCAACTTTAATTTGTAATTAATATCACATTTGACAATAATGCAAAGTAATAACAATGTAATTCGGATTACGCTATTTCTGAATTAAAACACGGATAAAACACTGCGGACATGGCTGAACTCGATTTCTGTGAAAAATGTCAACAAAATCACATGAAATCCTTTACTGTTGATAAATAGTAAACAACCCTTAACTTCTACATTAATTAATAAATTTATTAGTAAATAAAACAATAAATTAATTATTATGTGAAATGGTGACTTTGGACATCAAAACCTTGAATCAGATTAATTTTTAATTTTAAAGAAACGTTTCAAATATTATTTTATTCCTTTCAAAATAAGTCAAATGCGATAAGTGATTACTCATAGTCAAAATTCTTAATAATTTCAGCAAACGATTTATCAATTTTCCTCAACTCTCCATCGACCCAACCCAATGCCGGAAAACCGACAACTGCCGACCATCGGCTCCATCCCATCTGAAACGGTCGAACGTGCCTACTCGAGAGCCGAGTTTTGTGTCATTACTTCTGAAGCAGATTGTACATGTTTTTGATAAGAAAATATAATAGCTGTCATTAATTTGAAATTGTCATTCATTTTAACGTTAAAGCTTGAATTACATTAAAATGTCAGAAAAGTGACGACCAAAGAATTTTGTCTCCAACTGTACTTTATCCTTCATCAGTTAGTCTTTTCAGAAAATAAATATCTAGTTTAGACTGAGTATAGTTATTTATAACATAACATTTGAAATAAAGGAAACTGTCAATTTTAATGACAATTTTAGAACTGAAATAGTATATTAAAATAGATAAAATAGACAAAAATTTTTAATCTAGGGAATTTTGCGACGATTGGTGACATTTAGGTGGAATAATTTTAGGCGGCTGTGAAAAATAAAAATAATTCTTATTTTCACATATGAAAATGAATAGTGAAGAAAGTTCGTCATTAAAATTAAATTAACGCCAACGACTTACTAAAGCACTCAAATGACGTCATTAGGGTGCTTTAATAGACTTATTCTGACACTGAAATAGAAAAAATATTTGAAAACTACATATTTTTTTCATAATAGTACGAACGCAAAGTGTATTCATGAGAATAAAAAATGAAATCATGGAATTATTAATTACTTATTGAGAAATATACCTTTGAAAATTTCAAAATTTTTAAAGCTTTTATTAAAACTTTTCAAACTCACAACACTAATAAGTGTAACTTGCTACATACAGTTATTGGTCAACTTGCAAACATAACTTCATAAGAAATAAAAATGTGACAATACGAAAATAATAGTATATTATAATACCAGTTTATAAGCAACGTCGTAAGTGTTTTAAAGGCGCTTATAAACGAGTGTTATACGCTGTTTTTTATTATACCTGCCCATTTACGATCTTTTATGACCATTGAAAAAATGTGAATTTACACAATAAAATTATCAAAGGTTGTTTGTGAATCGTTTTCGTAGAGACGGTTACTAGTTTACGTTGTTAAGCACATAAAGGCTTTAAGGCCAAATTACGCACGCTGCAGCGTGTTTTAATTTAGGATTTGATGCAGGTATAATAAAAAACAATGTATTATTAAATCTTCAGAAATAAAAATAAATAACTCAAGAAAAACAATAAGTATTTCTTCAAAAAAAAAAAAAAAAAAAAAAAAAAACTAAACGTTAAAGCGTAACCGAAAGACTGTCAACGTGAAATACATAAATTACTTTCTTAACTAAATAAAAATTTACAGTTTTACTTCTCGAATTATGCAATAGCGTAAAAAAGAATTTCACTCTTTTTATTAGATGTACTTTAGGAATATACAAATTAAAAAATTAGCAACGTAGACATAAAAGTTTACAAATTTAAGGAAAGAAAAGTAAGAAGTAAAAAATGTTAAAATGTAAAAACTTTAAAATCAAAGAATTTAGAAAAAATTTCTTGTTCTTTCATATTACGTACATACTTTGCATTGGCATATGATTAAAAACATAAAAAATATAGGAAACGTAAACAAAAGAACACAAAAATATAAGATATAACGTAAAAATAAAGAAAAAAGAAACACAAACATATAAACAAAAACCTTAAAACAAGTAGGAGTACTATTTTCTTCTGGTGTATAATAAAATATAAAAATTAGTATAAAGACGTACAATTACCTTGAGATTTATGTTAAAAAATGTAACAAATAACTCAGGAGAGACAACAAGGTCTCCGTTTGTTATGTTATATCATAAAAACATTTAACGAGAGAAACGTAAACACAAAGTGTACAAAAATATGAACGCCGGCAAGCAAACGTGGACATAAAACATAAATGTAAATATAGGAAATAAATACTGCAAATATGTGTTTCTTATCACCTGAATATCTCCTGTTGATTTGAGTGCTCCAAATAGAAAGTTCCTTCCCCCGAATCGCATTTCCTCCCTGCTTCAAAAGTAAACTTCCCCCCTTTATACCCATACCGCCTTATAAAACAATAGGGCCAAGTATACAAAACAACCCCATCAAAAATATTTTTTAATTGCATGGCGGTTGAAGTCAACACTAAAGTATACATTGATCCACTGTCAAGCCCACATCTTTCCGACGCCGCTGAAGGGTGGATCCTCACATTAAAAATCCCTTCCCCTGAAGAACAATACAAATCGTTGTCTTCTTCAATACTAGTCATCGCAGAAACATCATCAGGAAACGCCACTGACTGAAAAGCCGACAACCATTTTTGTTTGTCTTCGAAATTCAAGGCACAAAATTCATAAGGGCAAGTGTTGGCTTTGGTGGTTATCGTGAATCGGGCGTCGGCTTCCGGTGTGAGCTTGATGCAGTTTTTTAAGGTTATGATTCGGACCGGAGGACCTTTGGTTTTGTCCGGACTGTCGTAGATTTCTAATCTTTCTATTCCGAATTTGCTGGCCTTGTACAAGTAGCAGTATTTTTGCTGCCACGATTTCTGCAATGATTTTTATAGTGCTGGAATAGACGTTTCTTTGTTTTGGTTACCTTCATCAAGAGTTTTCCACTTGGTGGTAACAAAAGGTATCCACGGTGCACCTCGTTTTCATTTTCCATTATTTAGGAATGTGGAGATTTGAAATTTTAGGCGTGTTGAGTAATTTATCTCGGTTTTTATCACAAACATATCACTCCTTATCACTTAAACCTAACCTATACGGATGTGTCATTTTCAAATGTCAAAACACCGATGTCACGTTTAAATCTTTTTACCGATAAATTGGAAGAAAAAAATAACAGGATGGCAAACTAAATCAACAACAGTTGTCTCAAAATGAATGACAAATCTAGAAAATGTATAAAACACTAAATTAATTTTATATTTTAGGCCCAAATGTTTGTTTGCATCGACTTGGCAACATCACAAGAATTTCAAGGTTGTAGAATGGAAAAACATGGGCGGAGTGTTTATAAGTAAACAAAAATTCATAAAATTCACTAACTCACAATTGACTGACAAAAAATTAACAGTTTTAACATATTAAATCCCAAATGGAAATAATTGTGACGCTCATGTTTGAAACTATTTGATTTACATGACTTCATTTTAAATGTGCGAAATAATTGGGTGAGTATGCAACCAACAATTCACCTATTTTCAAAATTCCAGTGGCGTAGTATATTTTGAAAGCGTTTCTTCAAATCGGAATAAAGGTCAAATTTATCAGAGTAATCACAAAAATTTCTAATATCTGCTCAACAGATGTAAAGTTGTTTCATTTTGTGGCCCCCCTACGCGTGTATTCAAACGTGCAACTTTCACATTTCGTTCAAACGCAAATTAAGTCAAAAATGTTGATTTTCACAACGATTTAAGGTGCTCCAGTGCATGAAACCGCCTTATAAAATCAATTGTTTTTGATGAAACTTGTCTTTCTTGACGGTTTCAGCAAGGTCAACCTCAGGGAGAACGGTTCAACTTATAAACCATACCGATTTCGAACACCTTTTAGTCGCAATCATGAAGCGGTTGAATATCACCATCCTGCTACTTTTTACCATCGGTAAGTGTTACGACTTTTTATCAATTAGCTCTTTGTTTGCGAGAAAGTTAGAAACGATCAAAAGAATTTTCGCTATTTTCAATAAAATCCTCAATTTTCTTCTTCTTTATTTACTAAATGTGACTTAATTTTCTCAAATTGTTAGCAATGATTTATTCAAATCAAGTAGCCAACAATAGGCCACGTAAATTGATGAAATAACTGTATTCTAGTGTTGTGAAAGTGATTCTTTGGATTCCTGCAAAGGCCAACTGCTTCCTGCAGCGCTTTAAATAATTCATTTTAAATGAGTGACAATTGCTTTTTCTAGGTTTGGTGACAGCAGCGAGGAAACATCAGAAGCAGGAAAGTCGAGATGACGATGAGTACGAGGCTACAGATCAGTGTCCTGAAAAGTATGGATTTTTCGCAGATGCTGAACAATGCGATAAATACTACGAATGTAATGACGGGCAAATAACCGAAAAATTGTGCCCCGATGGCATGGTTTTCAATGATTACAGCTCTGAGTATGAAAAATGCGATTTGCCGTTCAATATCGACTGCACTTCCAGGCCGAAATTGCGTAAGTTTAGCAAAATTAATTAAATTCATTCCTTGAAAATCGTGCAACCGAATATTTGGTAATTATTAATATTTGAATGTTATTCAGAAGAAGTCAAGCATGATATGTTGTGATGGTTCAATGATCTTGTAAAATTGTTCCATTCGTTTACTTTTTCAATAAACTGAAATGAAGCATAATAATATGACTCACTAATATGAATAATAATATGATTATGTAACAAATTATATAAATAAAAAAAAATAATAATTCTCCGTGTTGGGACCGGCAGTCAATCAAATCGAAAGAAACTGTTTACTAAAATGTTATTTTAGTAATAAGTAAAGTTTTAACTTTTAATCTTCATTTGAAGAAATCATTGAAATAACGTTCAATCACAGATAATAATTACCTGAAATTCTTGACATAAAAGTAGACTTTAGCTGAAATAAGTCGAGATTAAAATTTTTATGTTTCGTAAACAAATTATTTTCTAAGACAAGAATTATAAACAGGTTTTCTTTATATAAACTGAAATAGTAACAGGTCCGAATTCGTGAGAATCAAGAAATTTCATTAAAAATGGAATTCTAATTTTACTAGACTTTACTAGACATATATTTAATTAGAATTAAGTTGACTTTACATTGCCAAGGTGTTAATTTGATAAAAATTAATTTTATTTGATTAACTGGCCTAAAATTCAAAGTAAATAAAAAATAATAAAATCTATTTTAAAAATTTTAAAAAAACTTAAATCTAAAACAATTATATTGTAATTGTAATTGTTGAGTTATAACACAACTTAGAATTCGGATATCTCATGTGAAGCAACTTACAAATTCATCAGAGTTCAAACTCCGGTTTAGTGAACATTTTTTTTTACTTCCAGTAAACTTCTAGTAAACCATGGTCAAAACATGTTAATACCTTCTTAAAAATATATTATTACAAATTACTTGGTATTAATTGGTAAAAAATTATGTAGCTATTTCTTAAAAATGTTTATAAGATAACTAAATTCAACCACTTTCTAGAAATTTTTGGTTTAAGGTTCAACTATACCCAATAAAAAAATAAATCTTAGTTCAAAAATTATAAAAAGAAATTTTGTAACTTTTTGATGGCCATAGCAACAATACATAGATATAGATATACGGATTAATTTAATTTTTTTTCCGTGTCGTTTAAAAATAAGATAAATAAATCTCTATTTCAAGCCAAATAATGTTTTTATTAAAAAACAGTAAGAAATATTTTTTTATTTATTTTTGGCGTATTGTAGACTTACTTAAGTGTGTACATTCCTATGTACGAGTTTATGAGTATGTATTTTTGTCATGTGATTTGAACGTTAAATTGTTTCATAAAAAAATAAAAACTATTGAATTTTGCAATCCGTTACAAATATTAAAAATGAGGTAATAACTGCGTGTGAGATACTGATTTAACTCAAAAACAACATCTAATTTTAAAGAAAACAATTTGTTTAAAAATTCAATTTAAATTTTTCACTTGAGGACTCATTTGAATAGCTTTTCTTTGAGTGTGGTTTGCACACGAGCGATATATTCTTTCGATAGTAGATTTAGAACCGGTACACAACGGTAAATAGTAAAAGAGTAAATAATTTTTGGGAAACTGTAATTCTGTAGCTTAGTGTAAAAAATCTCAAAATGAAAGGAATAAAGAATTTCTTAATTTACATACCACATCTCTGTACTATCTATTTATCTTTGTATTTTTAACTATCTAAAGAAACAGCAAAATTGCAATGTTTATTAATTTTTGAACTAAATTTATTTTTAAAAATTTGACAATTTTTAAGTAAAAATTCACAAACCCAGTCGAAAAAAATTAATAATAGATATTTATGAAAATCCACAGACAAGAAAACAAAAACGATTTCCCTCAAACACAAATGAAAAGCCCAAATTTGTGAGAACTGTATTAGAATAGCTAATAAGGCAACAAGAGTTTTAAGCTATAAAACCTGTGTTGTCTTCAAAATTCAAAAATTGTTAAAAAGAAATATTTCAAAATAATGTCAAAATTGACAAAATGCCAAGATAAGTGTATTTTATATGTTATATCACGTGAATAAAAAGTATAGAACCAAGCGTTTTTTGCTTAAAATATTTATTTCTTGGAAAAACTAATTGATAAATGATGAAAGTACCTACAGGTGAATATAAAGTATGGAACCAAGCGGTTATATTTTAATCATTTGCCTCCAGAAAATAATAAATAAATTAAAGTAATATAAAAAAATGTGATGGTGTTTTCAGAACGAAATTTTGTTTTGTTTTTGAGTTATGCGATTTTTTTTTGTCAAAATTGCAATTTATGTAAAAAAAAATTTTTGAAAAAATTAAATATAAAGCAGATAGTTGTAAGAGTATAGCTTTTATGAGAAAAATGATTTTATAGTGGGTTGCCATTTAAAAAAAATATTTTTTTTTGTAGAATTCAAAAACAAAAGGAAATTTAGAAAAATTTTATTCTTGTTAAATCATCACATTTTTATAGTACCTTATCACTCATCAATTAGTTTTTTTTTAATACTTTTTATTCACCTGGTATAAAAATGTTATGATTTATCAAGAATATATTTCCTTTTCTTTAGTTCTACAAAATTTTTAATATTTTTAAGTGGCAACCCACTATAAAACTATGTTCCTCAGGTTATGATCTAAAGATATAACTACCTAGCTACTTTATATATTTAATTTTTTGAAAAAAATATTTTTTACAAAAATTGTAATTTTGACAGACCAAAAAAATTGCATAACTAAAAAACAAAACCAAATTTCGTTCTCAAAATTCGATCACATTTTTAAATTACTTTAATTTATACTCCTATTAATTATTATTTTCTGGAGGCAAATAATTTAAAAGAAAACCGCTTGGTTCCATACTTTATATTCACCCTGTATACTTATAGAAGAGCGTATATTAACGACAACATGATAAAAGAGTTGGAATTATCATAAATAGTGGAACCAAAATACCTATTCAGTTTTTTTTTAATAATTATTATTAATAAATGATTAATAAATTCAAAATCACCACATCACACAAAGAGTTTCTGAAGAATTTTTGGTTGTTCAAAAAGATGCATGTGTATGTGTTAAATTTTGAAAAATATAAGACTCCTCAATTTAATTTAAGCCAAAAAAGCTTTTGTAACAACGGTTTATGAAAATTCTTTTAATGGTCAAATTGTGCTGAAAAGTTATATTTTAATCCTTAAAACTGCCAAAGTGGTAACAATTAACAAATAAACTTTAATATGTATAATTGTAATTTTAATGGTCCAAAAATACACAAAATTTCATTTATTCTTCGACACTGTCAAAATTTACGGTTTTTCTCCCGTGTAAGGAAGTTTTGACAACTGTTTGGCATTTCTCAATACAAAACTTCAAATTATTTTTAACAGATTTAAAGCAATTTTAAGCCTTGTTGACTCTAATTCGAAGAATAAAATGTTGTATTCCACTCGTTTGAGTGTAAATGGGACGCTTTATTCCACCTCGTGGATGGTAAACCACTCGCTACACTCGTGGTTTAAAAATCCACTCGGTCAAATAAAGAGTCCGATTTACACTCAAACTCGTCGAATAAATAACTATTATGTAATGAAAAAAAATCTTCAAAAACTTTAACCACGTAGAACAACAAGTGTATATTAAAACAGAATGGTACAAATTTCAAACCTTTTGTGCTTTTTTCAGAGGAGCCCCAGCCTAGCCAACACTGCCCCCGCAAGCACGGCTACTTTGCCCACGAAGACACCCACATCTGCGACAAATTCTACTACTGCGTCGACGGCAAATTCAACATGATCACGTGCCCCAATGGTCTAGTCTACAACGACAAAGCCGGAATTTGCTCCTGGCCCGACGAAGCCAAGAAAAAAGGCTGTTCCTCCGAAGGTAACATCCAAACAGTCGTCGAAAAACCCACAAGATTTCTTTTCAGAGGTTTTCCAATTCGAGTGTCCCAAGGTGAACGAGACGGTGGCCGCGACGCACCCTCGCTATGCCGACCCCGACGACTGCCAATACTTCTACGTCTGCATCAACGGGGATACTCCCAGGAGGAGTGGGTGCAAGTTGGGACAAGTGTTTGATGATGTTGGGAAAAAGTGTGATTGGGTGAGAAATGTCCCAGAATGGTAAGATTTTGCAAAGTTTTTTGGGTGTAAGTAAAAGTGGTTTTTAGTGCCGATTGGTACAAAGGTCGGTTGACTGACGAACAGTTGAAGGAGTTGGAGAATCCACCTACACGTAAACCTAGACCTACTAAAGTCAGTAGAAGGAAGCCTAGGCCGCCGAGGCCCACACAAGTCGAAGAAGAAGAGGAGAAATAGTCTAGGAAATAAGTTAGTGGAAAAATGCGATTATTTTATGATTGTGGTGGAAAACACCAGATTGTACGTTTTGTTAGTTGCATAATTTAAGACGAATAAAATATTTTCTAAAATATTCTTTTCCAGTGTTTTTCCCTTCAAAGTTTTTCATAAAAAAATAATATTGTTTATTTGTTTAGTCATTCGTTCCTGAAATGTAACCTTGTACTTGAAACATTTTTTGACCTTCATTTTATTTAAAACATTTTACAGTTAATGAATACATTAAATTTGTGGTCTTACAAGGAAAAAATTAATTACCTAAACTGTTGGGCAGTGAAAGTTTATTATTATATAAATTACCTTATTTATTGCATTGAGTGTCATATCGCTACATAATTAATTCTTTAGTAGAAATCTGCAGTCAAGTTTTTGCAAGTTTTAAGTCAGTGGTAATGCAATAAAACAAAATAAATAAAACAAACTTACAGTACAAACATTATGTTATACAAAAATCTAAAACAAACATTTAAAGTCAATTAATTTATTTTAAAAAATACATATACAAAGCGAGTCATTTATAATAAAGACCCTAACGGATTTTTAAACGCAACCCAAAATACATTTTCACAGTTAACTTGACTTTAGTTGTGTATAAATAATTTAAATTTGAATCAAGTAGTTGTTGATATGTCATTCATTAAATTTGACAATATCATCAATACCACTTTTTTTTTCTTTTGAATTCAAAATATACTCAAACGACGAAAAAACTGACATATGGAGAATACTACAAAATGTTGTACCTAACTAAATCTGTACTGTCAATAGTACACTGTAGAATGCCAATTTTCAAAAACTTTATATCTTTGAAAAATTTTAAATAGTTCATCAATTAACTCATAGCGGTATCGTCGAATGTATTTTGGGTTGCATTTGACAATCGGTTAGCCTGAATAAATTTTGTATTTACTACAATACAGGCTGTCCCAAGAGTAATAATAAGCCTGAAATAAGCCTGCGAAGCGTTTTTTAAACATTAAACATCATTCATCATACAAGGTGATTCTTTTAGGACCTACATTGAAAACTTTTTAACTTCTAATGCAGATAGGAATTTGAAATTTTGAACACAACCCAAATCAACCAGTCTGAGTTCAACTAAATTATTTTCAAAATGGCTGAACTTCCGGAACTACGAGAAATTGGCTCCAACTTTGAAATTTTAAATGGTATCCACTTATTTTTATTGCATTTTTGAATTCTCTTCTTTAAACTAAGTAAAATGTACCTAGTTGTTAGTACTTAACTATCATAGTTTTTGACATATGTCAATTTTTTGGTCAAAATTTTCACTTGCAGGGGTTCATTCAAAACATCACAGCTCTTGAACCCTTTGCGATAAGTGAATATTTTTTGTTGCATTCGAAAACCAAAGGTTCGAAAAGTTTTCTAAAATTTTCAAAATTGTCGACTGTCAAATTGCAAGGCTAGTATGATTTTTTGAAAGTGATCATTTTCAAACAGCTTTAACTCAGTTTTTTCAAATGAAATGACTATTTTCTCAACGGCAATCAAAACTACATCAATTTGTAGAAGGACTTTTATCAACATGTCCTATACCTATCTCTTACAGTTTTTGAAATAATCACAAAAAACATGTTATTTTTATAGTTAATCACGTAGGCTTTGGAAAAATACAATAAGATATACTATAATTAATACAGATGTTCGATATGTTTACCATTTTCAAATAGTACAAAACTCTATGGTGAACTGATTTGAGTGGCTTCCATTAGTTCATTTGGTTGAAGATTATTAAATGCCGTCTCAATCCTTGCCTCAATTCTTTGTAATTCCGGATGGGTGTTGTGTAGATTAATAAATCTTTAATTCGTCTTGATCATTTTCCAAAGGCTACGTGATTTACTATAAAAATAAAAAACAAAACCACGTTTTTCGTGATTATTTCAGAAACTGTAAGAGATGAATATAGGACATGTTGATAAAAGTCCTTCTACAAATCGATGTACTTTCGATTGCCGTTGAGAAAATGGGGTCCTCTTATTTGAAAAAACTGAGTTATAGCTGTTTGTTACATATCATTTTCAAAAAATCATATAAGCTTTGCAATTTGGCAGTTGACAATTTTGAAAATTTAGGAAACTCTTCGAACCTTTGGTTATCAAATGCAAGAAAAATTATTTACTTATTGCAAACGGTTCAAGAGCTGTGATTTTTTTAATAAACCTCTGCAAATGAAAATTTTGAGCAAAAAATTGACATATGTCAAAAACTATGACAGATAAGTACTAACAACTAAGTACATTTTACTCAGTTTGGAGAGGAGAATTCAAAAATGCAATAAAAATAATTGGTTACCATTTAACATTTCAAAGTTGGCGCCAATTTCCCGTAGTTCCGAAAGTTCAGCCATTTTGAAAATAATTTAGTTGAACTCAGACTGGTTGATTTGGGTTGTGTACAAAATTTCAAATTTCTATCTGCATTAGAAGTTAAAAAGTTTCTAATATAGGCCCTAAAAGAATCACCTTGTATAATAGCCTGATTGCGTAGAAAATTGTTTATAGGACACAGGGAAATAAAACATTAAATTCGTCGCGACGTTTCGATACGTTAATTGTATCTTCTTCAGGTGAAGAATTCTTCCTTGACTGTGCCATGCTTCCCACGCCCAACCAACAAAAATTCGACGAATTTAATGTTTTGTTTCCCTGTGTCCTAAACCATTGTCTACGCAATCAGGTTATTATTAAACATCATGTCGATGTTTTCGTCAAAATTTTAGTAAAACCTACCAAATTCTCCAGTTTGACTTTTTATAAATCAAAGTTAAAGTGCTGTCTAGTCACCATTTAATAAAACATTAAAACCAAATATTTTAATATCCACGTTATCTTTAAAATGTAATTTTAGTTGCTTTAAAAACATTTTCAGGCCCATTATTACTCGTGGAACACTCTGTATGTTTTTGAAACTTTTACGAAAGCCACAATAAAAGTAATAAAACAGTCTACCTATTTTTCAATGGTATAAGTTTATTTCATCAAATTGAAATTCGAAACATAATAACGGAAACTGTTACGCTGTCTGTAAGTCAACAAATTTTTAATTGCAGTTAAAAACAAAAAGCAATAAAAAAAACTTGAAAAACATTAAAATTTACCATAAAAAAATGTGTTTTATCAATTTTTACATATTATTGCCCATGAATATCTTATAGCAGTATACAACAAGTTGTACTCAGAACGCAAAGTCGCGAACAGAATTTTTGAATTCATTAATGTACTTGGGAGAGTTGAGCGAATCGCAGGGGAACAACAACAAGGTGCCGTTTAATGCTTTTTAGCTAATAACTCAACAACGATATGTGTTACACAAAAATTGTTCTATACAAATGAAAGCTTATAAAATTCTCTAAAAGGTGGTTTCTCGTGTTAAACAAACTATTAGTTAATTAAAAATGAAAATGTTATGTGTACGGCGGCGCTTTCTTCTCTCTATTTCCTAAGCCTTGTGACCTTACCTACGTTTCGTTGTAGAAACTTATTTAGCAAATAAAACCTCAGTAGAAGTAAAAATATTATTCTTTTACCCATTCTAATATGTAATTTTCTTTGAAGCTGAAACTTTTCATGCACTTAACCTCACTTTCTTAATTCTTAGGACTACATGCAAGGTAAGTACCAAAAGACTGCAAAGGCCTATATTAGAATCAGCAATCTACAATTAATAACTCGTTACAATTATCAAACTGGTTTACCTGTTTACTATCTAAAGAGAAAAAGCATTAGACTGTTTTCTTTCAAAATATTAAAATTTTCACAAATTTTTAATTCGTTGTAACTTGTGTTCCATTAAAAATATAAAACTACATAGCGTATTCAAATTTAATGTTTAACGCCTTTTTTTTTCTGTGCACTTTTATTGTGAACTTAGGATTTTTAAGAGCTATATGAGACAATGTGGGGCCAAATAGCTATTAAGATAACAAGAGTTTTATAAACAGATTAAAAAACAAAGTCGTAGTTTAAAGAAATAGTTTAATACACATAAAACTTATGTTGTCTTCAAAAATATTTCCAACACTAATATTGTATCAAGAATTTTACTAAATTCAGAAATTGTTAGGTATAAAAAATTGTCAAAATTGACAAAATGCCAGGATAAGTGTACTTTGTGTAGCTTAAATCCACTATAGAAACAGTATATTAGTGATGAAAAATAGCTTTTAAATAAGTTTACTGAAAGTAGAAGTAGATTAAAAATAATTAATTAATTAAACAGTACCAATTTTTCAAATTTAAACCATTTGAAGTAAATGCGTTTCCTTAAAAAAATAGGACGCCACTGTACAGGAATGTTTAGAGAACATCAATAAGTCATTTTCTAAAAATAAATTAACCTTCATTCAACATTTTCTTCTTTCGCATTTAAAATTTTTGACATTTTTCAAAACGAATCGTTCTAGAATCAATGCCTCATAAAGTTACATATTTAAGTATTTCATTCACATTTTTGGAAAAAACCTTTCTCTCTGAACTGAAAAATTTCCATAAAACCGACGCATCCTCCATACAAATACACGCTACACTCTTTGACATTTCATATGTTGATCATTTCGCATTCTTCAACTTATTGCAAATGCGTTCTCATGTTGCAATTTTTTTGATGCTATTGACCCTTTTTACCACATCGTAGACTGGAAGACGTAATCGAATCAAAGCTACCGAAATATTCACAATTCCTAGGAGTGTTCCATATACCTATATTAAACTTTCACATGTTATCACTGAGTGAAAGTCTCTTATGTACGAATTTGCCCCAAAACATCTCATTATGTAATTTTTCATCACTACTCATGTGCTCAACACATACTTCAAGTTCCCTCATTGGTAAAACACTCTGTATATCTCTACAAAAAACAAGTGGAGTAAAACTCGGTTGAACTTTTTTGGTCGTCGGTGGTGCCAACCGCCAAACCACGTCCAATTAAACTTTTCCTGGCACAAAGAAAGTTTCTTTTTTCGACCTCGGCAAACAATGAAAGTGTTCAAGGGTACATAAATGTCGCTTTTCTGCACAGAACTTCCAATTTGAATGTCTTAATTAATTCAAATTAGTCCAAAAGAAGAGAAAATGATTGTCTGCACCAAAGGTTAAATATTTCACCACCTTATCGAGTGGGGAGTCTCCCAATCAGCCAATTAGAAGAAATAAGTCATCGTGATTTCTTTGACATTCGATGATTGGTTGTGCGACAGGCCGCGAGTTCTTAAATAAGCCACCTCGAAGTGGCCGTGCAGTTAAAGTTCCGTCTCCATAGCTTGCACTTATAGTTTTTATTTATTTTTAATTTAGTTATAGTTCAAACGCAATGAAATTTGCATTAATAACGTTAGTTCTAGTTTCCGCAGCAAGTAAGTACCACTTTCTAATTATTCTCATGAAATTTGTCGCGTAGATATGTGTGTTTCCTGATTATGTCATTTTGGTCAAAATAAATAAATGTCAATGAGAGAAAGTTATTGGTGCACCGGAATTTTTCTTGTTTAAATTTTTTTCAATCGGCGATTTCGGGATGGATACAGGTTTCGTTCATATTACAAAACTTTCAGCCTTTCACTTTCCTTACTGACACGTTGACCGAACTAGTCACATCGTGGAATTTATGATACATTATGAAAACTATTTCGATTTATTATGCTACGCCACTAGGCTTTCCAGTTTCTTATGCAAAAACAATAATTTTGGAAAAGTTTGCGAAATTTGTGATACACTGAATTGAAATAAAAAATAATACGACTGAAATAAAAAGAAAAATTTAATATTCTTGAAAGCTTTTTCAAAGTATTCTTGAAACTGTCGAGGTTACGTGACCTTCTACGTAATTGCGCTGAAAAATTTATTTACTATTTCCTATTATAAAATTGCTACATAAAACTTGAAATTGCATCAATAAGATTTAATTAAATTAATTTTCCACAGTCTATTTTTGTATCACAAAAATCCCGCAGCTTATACAAATTGTTCGAAAACTAATTGTCAAATACTAATACACAATAACGAGTCAAAATGTTATAAAAATCGTATTCAAAATGTTAGGTACAATTTAATTTTTATTTGATACATATTTTTTTTTAATCAAAATATAGTTTACCGCATTTATTGTCAAACATTCTGTTTAAAAGTAACATTATTTGACAGGAACAAAAACATTCTTTGTTATTACTCTTCAATTTTGTTTTAAAATTTTGTATGATAAGTGTACTGTTTGCTTTAAACGACTTCAAAGACAAAACAAAAAATATAATTGCCTTAAATCTTAAAAAAATGTAATAAGTTTCTTATTAGAATGGTTGTAATCTTATAAAAAAGTTGTAATACTGTAAAAAAAAACGTACTTTTAGCATTTTGTCAATTTTGACTTTATTTTGGTAATTTTTTATAACAATTTCTGAAATTAGTAAAATTTCTGATGCAATATTAGTATTAGAAAAAAATTTGAAGACAACACAAGTTTTACAGTTTAAAACTCTTCTGGAATTAATAGCTTAAGATTTAAAATCTCTTTTATAAAACCATAATTTATATCATGCTTTACTAAACAATTTTTCTTATTTTTTTATTTTGTACGTTTTCATTGTAGCGAAAACAATAATTCCGAATATTCGAAGTTCTACTGTAATGTGAGCTTCTAAACAAAATATTTTGAAACATTTATAAAATAAAATATGTAGTTAAAAAATACAATCCTACAATGTCCCAAAATTCAGTGCTCATAAACTCTATTGCTGTAACTGCCAAAAAATATGTATTTTTTAACTAATCACAAGTCATTACACAATCTAATACTAAAACATCAGACAATAATCACTTTGATTCCTTTTAATTTTTTTCTCTGAAATTCTTGTAAAAATACCAACTTGAACACAAAAAGCCATTAAAAAACAAATATTTTATTCTGAAAAAATCTTGTAACAGATACTTTATAAATTATAAAATTCGTTTAATTTCAACTTTGCAATATTGATATTTTGTTTAAATTTAATCATGTGTAATGTCCATATTCATAAAAATATCAGTGTTTATAATTATGTTTATAAAAATATATCGTAACTTTACACGCTGTTCGATGTAAATCACCTGTATATTGTCAGACCAATCAACGCAAGTATCATTAAAAATATTGTAAAAACGATTTTCAGGGAAATAAAATGCAGATTGTTTAAATTTTTAACATTGTTCGAAATTATACTCAAGACAATCATTTCATATAGTCGAGGTTCCACTATATGAGTATTTTTAAATTTCAATACCCAACGATATTTTGAAAAATTTTCAACAAAAAAATTAAATTTATTGAAAACATAAAACAACTTGCTAAATTAAATAACTATTAAACTTTTTTTTTAATTAACACAGGACAAAGCCCGTAATAGAAAAGACTTTTTTTGAAAACCGATAAAAATAATTATTACCTTTTTATTTTTCTGAAATTCTTTAAAAAACATTAACTTAGAATCTTAAATTTCAAGCGAATAAATAAATTTGAATACTGAATGAATCTTACGTATATTATATGTATTTTTAAAGCAAATGCAAATATTTTATCGATTTTATTTTAATAATAATAATTACTTAGAGTTCCAATTTAAAAACATATAAATCAGTTAACTTAAGACGATTTTTTTTTAAATATTCTCAAATTATCGCAAAAGCATTAATTGGAGACCAGAATAAAAAACTAAAGTTCTGAAAAAGGGCAATAACTATCAAAAATTTCGAAAAGCCAAAAACATTTTTCAATATCAAGAAACCTATCATCTTTCCCTTCCTAAAAATAAAATTAAATAATTTTTAAAGCATTTATAGCAATGAATTCTTTCATTTATTATTTTCGTAAAAATATAATTCAAAAAAATTTCCATAAAATGTAAAAAAAAACAAATATTTTCTTTAAAAATTAATCTCTCACTTTACCAGAAATGTGATTTCTTCAATTCTCGAGGTTACCCCAATCTCCCATTTGACCTTCCAACGACTTTACAAATTAGCATATTGTTTGCACAAACATTTCTCCCAGGTGTCATTGACATTGTCGCAATGTCTTATCACTTTCAGACGCCCAATTTAAATGCCCCCCAAAAGACGGCCAATACGAGGACTCTCGACAATGTGACAAATACTACGAGTGTGAAGACGGCGTCCCAAAAGAAAAACTTTGCCCAGATGGCTTAGTTTTCGACCCACTAATCCGAAAAATCAACAAATGTGACCAACCTTTCAATGTCGACTGTGGTGATCGTACTGAACTTCGTAAGACCGAGAAAATAAGTGTTTTATTGTGATTTGTTTTTATAATTTTTTAAATCTAGAACCTCCAAAACCCAACAACTACTGCCCACGACGCAACGGTTTCTTCGCCCATCCTGACCCAGCAGTGTGCAACAAATTCTATAATTGCATTGAAGGCGAACACACGGAAATTACTTGCACTGCAGGACTCCATTTTGATGAGTTTACCGGAACTTGCGTTTGGCCTGATTCAGCAGGACGTCAAGGATGCAACAAAGATATTACAAGTGATCTTTCAAACCTTCTCAAAATTTCCACTTAATGACATTTTTGGTGTTTAGATAAATTGAAAGACGGTTTTGAGTGCCCCAACCAAGGCCAAACCGATGCCAATGGCCAACTCGTTGTCCACCCCAAATACGCCCACCCCACCGATTGTCAAAGATTCTACGTGTGTCTGAATGGCCAAGAACCCAGAGATCTGGGTTGTCAAGTCGGTGAGGTCTACAATGAGGAAACTCAGAGGTGTGATGCTCCAGAAAATGTACCTGGATGGTAAGTTTTTTGATTTGAAAAGTGTAAGAAATTCATTTTTGTCTTTTAATTTTAGTGAGGATTGGTACAAAGACGAACCTGCTGCAGCTAAACCATCCAAGAAGGTCTAAGTTGGCTGGCATTTCACATATTACCACAAAGACTTTTAGATATTATTTTCTTGTTTTTTGTATGGTCACGTGTAACATATTGTCAAATGAGGTGTTGTTAAGAATTGTACGTGTAAAGCAAAAATAAATTAATCCTGATTTTTTACTTTGTGTTTAATTGTTAATTTATATTTTCTTTAAATAGAAAAGATCAAAAATGTAATAATAGAACTTTATTGATACAAACATTAATATTTTTTTAATCATAATCTACACAGATTTTTATTTAAAATTTAGAGACAATTACTTTTTTTGATTCAAAAACTAAAATTCCACAGGTAGGTAGAAATTGTTAGCCGAATTATCGTTTGCACTTTTCAGTGTAGGAAAATATTAGTTTTACACTTTTTGATGATTCATAAATAATACAAGCGCACAACTAGGGAAAATTTCTTTTTTCTACTATGGAAAGAGCAAAAGATCAAGCATAATTCAACTATTTAAGCATCATAAATACTTGTAAATTTTAGATAAAAAAAGTTTTTTTATATGCGCTCCCGAAAATAGCTTTTAGAGACTCATATTTGAGTTCCTTAAATGAGTCTTTTTCGAACTCAATAAAATAGTAGGTAAATGGTTATTCTAGGTACTCAGCACCCAAAATACAGTTTTTCCGGACAAAAAAAACAATTTTTTTAATTAATAAGAGGTGTAAATTCGTTTTTTGGGAGGTTTAACAAAAAATGTTGTTTGTAACATGTTGTATCTAAAACGTTTTCGCGGAGTCATCTGCTAAACAGGAACGATTCATCGGCAAAAACTGTACTTTAGGTACTTGTAAGAAAAATAACTCTTTCCGAATATCTATTCTTCATATTGCTTTTATTTTGAACCATTCATTTTTAAACTAATTAAAGTAATATAACTTAAAATTTTCACAAAATTTAAAGTTTTGCTTGTTTTGCATCTCATTGAAAATTTTTGACAAAAGCAAATTTGCTCTGCGTTTCATTTTTAATTTTATCTTTCTTTTTGTTTGATGTGTGTCACAATTAATCTTTAGAAAGATTATTTTATGATAGCACATAATCAAAAAAACGCAAAATCACTTTAGTGTTTCTATTTTTAGTTTTCCTTGAGAAATAGTATTGTGCTCTTAAACAAAATGTAAATAATTTGTTTAATAAAAAAATCAACAAATAAATAACATTAGTTGTCATTAAAAACACAATTATTATGTGTAATATCTACTTATAACAATTTATGTAATTATTTTTTAACTTTATTTCAAGCGATAGTTTTACTTCATGTTTTACACTATTTGGAGAAAAAAAATAAAGCTGCATATAGCAGTGACATTATAAAATTGTGCAACTCACAATTTCTGAGTATTTTAATCGTAGATTCAACTTATGACAATATTTGAAATTAAACTTAAGTATCATATACAGGCTGTTCTAAAAACAAACAGGAGAGAAAAAACCCTAACTTCGGTGTTGTCAATAGAGATAGTTGAAATGCTAACTTGAATTTTTCCTTTTATGATCTTCTGTATGATTTAACAAATTCTGTCTTGAATTAAAAACAATTTGAGCTAAATTTTTGTTCAATTTCTAGAAATCGAATAACCTTAAAATTTTAGTGAAACTAGAATAAAGATAACTAGATACATAACTACTAACAAATATTATAAATTGAAAAATACAAAATTCAAGTAAAAAATTGTAGACATGGAGTACTTTTGATCAAATAGTTTTTTGTTTGTTGAGATAATATCATTAACAAACTATGATGATAACTGTTCAAGGTTAGACAAGAACATATTAACACAAAACATTACCAGTGAAATAGAGCGAGAAAATAACAGACATTTGGTAAAAAAATTAAGTTTAATAACGTAGCAAGAATAATTATTATTGTAATGTTTTTGCAAAAATTATTTGATAGTAACTCAGACCTTATCTTAGGCACTCCAGATCCACCTGCAAACATCATTCAAAATAAAAAGTCATTTCAATGTATACATAAGTGTCAAAATCACAGTAAGCCAAATATTTTTTGTAACAAGCATATTGGCAGTAACTCCTCGAGCTGCCTTTCTAGGATTGTTGTATTTAGAAGTCATGCTACTTGGTGATGCAAACAGAAGTAAATTTTTCGTTTGCATTTTTGGTAAATCATTGACATTTTTTTGAGACCCGAGTTTGTATACCTGTATTTACCTTAAATACCAGAAAAAAAACGTAAATCAAGAAAATGTATTTTGATCTGTATCTCCGTATTCCCCACTTAAGTTTGTTTAAAATTTGTCAGTGTCATGCTATGACATCGAATGAATCGAGAAAATAATTGTATATAAAAATGTTCACTCTTTACTTAATCTAGAGTAATCGAGCCATGTTTGTTTCTAATTCTTTGCTTGGCGATTTTATCGCTGTACTCATAGCTGTTGGAGTACTTATAACACTTTATTTCAAATGGACTTACATATTATACAGTACTAGACATACATATACAGGCTGTTCGGACTAAGTCGCCCCGGCCGATAATACCTAAACTTACTTTTTTTTTTCAAAAACTAAATTTTCAAATAATACTATTCATTCATGGCTTTTTTAGAGAATGGATCAAATTTTTTTAGCACATCCTGTGTAGCTGGAAATGCTACCAAATTTAGTTTTTCAAATGGAACACCTATGTTTTTTCCCTCCAAACAATAATAATTGACATGAAAAATACGGTAAACCACTATTTATTACATTTTACTTGACGCAATGCACTCAGAAAACAATTTAAATTTTAGAATTTTATTGAAAATTTTGCAACGTAGGCCGATTTTACTTGTCAAGGTATTCATGCAAAAAGCAATATGCTTGGATACCGTTTAATTGTTAGTTTGACAAAGAATAATTTGTCAATAAATCTTATTAAGATCTTTAATAATGCATGATATTAATTACGACGAATTGGTATATCAGCTTGAAGTGTTTTTTAAATGCAATAAAAATAGAGCGGAAGCTGGAAGACAGTATAGAGAAAAATACTCAAATATAGTTTACCCAAATCGTTGGAAATTAGTCGAATTGAAAAACAACTGAGACGAATAAGTTAGCTGCTTAAAACTAAAAAACCTGTGGTTCTTAGGGAAGAACAAGAAAATAGAAATCTGAATGTTCTGTTATCAGTCGAAGAAAATCCAAGAGTTTCCATAAGAGAACTTGCTCATCATAACTGACAAATTAGATTTGTCAAACCAACAATTAAACTGTATCCAAGCATTTTTTTATTCACACCTTTCTTTTAAAATTAAAAATCAGGCTACGCGACCAATTTCCTTATAAAATTCTAAGATTTAAGATGTTTTCTGATTGCAATGTGTTACGCAAAATGTAATAAATAGTGGTTTACCGTATCTTTCATGTCAATTATTATTGTTTGGAAGAAAAAAAAAACATAGGTGTTCCATTTGAAAAACTAAATTTGGTAGCATTCCCGGCAACACCGGATGTGCTAAAAAAATTTGATACATTTATTAAGAAAGCTATGAATGAATATTATTACTTAAATATTTACTTTTTGAAAAAAAGAAGTAAGTTTAGGTGTAATCAGCCGGGGCGACTTGGACCGAACACCCTGTACAAGTTTAATAACTCACAAGTTTACGAACTGGTAAAACATATTAATTAAAAAAAAGTAGGTAACGTTTGTTTAAAATTGCTGTAGATTTATCTGTCATAAACAATAAAGTCTCTTTACTATAAGAAATAAAAGTATGTACAAATTTTGATGTAAATTGTGTAAGAAAATTAATTATCAAATTGATGATTCAAATTACAGTAAAGCAATTTTTGTCAGCACTTTGTTGAAATTGCAACCAAAATTATTGTTTTGGTGTGATTATTACAATTAAAAAAAAATTAAACTATTTCGACAAATTGTAAAAAAGCTGCCTCAAGAACTAAGACTCACTCATTTTTAGTGCAAACACATGATTAAAAAATTGTGCAACTCACAATTCAAAGTAAAATATTAATCCTAGATTCAACTTTTGACGACATTTAGCTTGAAAGTAATTATAATTTGCATATACAGAGTGTTCTAAGAACAACTAAAAAGTAGTAGTTTTTAATGTTTTTCGACCTTGTATTTTCTGGATATCCAGTATTTATAGTATGTATGTTAATCTATTAGAAATCTTTTACTGTACTTTTGCAAATTATACCAAATGAATAAAAAGTATAGAACCAAACATTTTTTGCTTAAACTATTTATTTTTTGTAAAAACTAATTGATGAATAAAAAAGTACTATAAAAATGTGATGTTTTATGAAAAATAAAAATGTTCGAATTTTTTGTATATTTTTGAGTTATACATTTTTTTATTTTTTTTAAATGGCAAACTTTTTTTTACATAAAATCGAATAACTTAAAAACAAAACAAAATTTCGTTCTCAAAATACAAACACATTTTTTATATTAGTTTAATTTATATTATTATTTTCTGGAGGCAAATGATTAAAAAAAATCGCTTGGTTCCATACTTTATATTCACCCTGTATGTCTTCAGTTAAAAATAAGGTGAGTTAAATTGTTGTTCAATTCATAGAGATGAGAATAAAATAATTTTAAAATTTTAGCTTAAACTGGACTAAAAATAGTGAAAATTCTATATGTTAGTGACAAACTCAATAAGCTTTAGCTGGTAACCATAGAAGTTTATGTAATGAAAAATAAATAATTTAACTGAAACATCTTTCACTGAAGTCTCGTGCAACTCCCCTTAACACACCCTCAAGCTCCAAAGAACCTCACCTCATATCAAGAGAACAACCCTCAAAATTGTCTCATCAAGATCCTACAAAAGATAGGATTTTTCACTTTTTTAATTGTTACCTCGATCGTAACACTATACTAATAAATAAAATGCATTTCTAGACTCACAATATAAAAAATAAGCAAGTAAAATGTATTTTTGATAAATTATTTTTTTATTTGATTGTTCAGGTAACTTTATTTGTTTAGTACTAAAAATTTTAATTTATAACAGTTGAAGTTTAGACAAGAACAAGAACATTTTAACACAACAATACTAGTTAAATATGGCGAGAAAATACGGGACATTTGAAATAAATTTTGAAGTGTTGAAAATGTGTTCAGAAGTATAGAATAAGATATAATTTTGCTTTTTTTTAACCATTATTAAATATTTATTAGTGTTTGCGACGTCTGCGCAATTATTTTTATATTTTTGCAAAGATTATATATTTTTTTATTATATTTATTATATTTAAATCACACCTTATCTCAAACACACAAAATCCACCTGCAATCGACATAAGAAGTAGTTACTTAGGTTGGTTTTGAGTAAATATGTAGACTGACAAAATATACAGAATATGTAATTTAATATACCTATTTACACAAATTTCAAAAACACATTACAGTTGCTTAATTTTTTTTTCCAACTATAACAATAATCCATAAAAAAAGAAAAAAATGTTCCGCCCATTTTAAATTATTAGCAACTAGCAAACCAATCGTAGCTAAGCTCAAAAAGAAAAAATTACAACTGAACAATTTTTGAAGTAATTTTTGTTAAAAATTCTACTTCTGTACAATATAATGTATATACTAAGTTCTATTACGAAGAACTTTGAAATGGCTAAAAAAAACACCAGATTTAGATTTAAACTTTAATTTCAACTCAGTTTCAACGTGACATTGCAAAAATGTAACAGTGTGACTTACGCTGCTTTTGATTACTGTTTTTCATTGGTATAACCAAATAAGGGCGGGGCATTGATCAAGTTACATTTTAACGACTAAAACTATATTATTTCTATTGAGTGTTATTAAATGAAAAGAAAACGTTATCTCCGTATTTAGACCACTTATCTTTGTTTATAATATTTTCAGTATCAAAGCATAGACAAACAAAACAATAGTATATAAATTTGTTCACTCGTTATTTATTTTAATCTAGTGTAATCAAGCCATGTTTGTTGCTAACTCCTTGCTTGGCGATCTCATCGCTGTATTCATAACTGTTGGAGTGCTTATAACCCTTTATTTCAAATGGACATACCAATACTGGGCTCGCCGAAACGTCCCTCAACTCGAACCGCGAATACCCTTCGGTAACATCACTGAATCAATGAGAGGGCGAGAATTCGTCGGTGTCACCTTCAAGAAAATCTACCAAAAAATGAAAAGCCAGAAATATCGACATGGAGGCATTTACATTTTCACTCAACCATCGTATTTTCCCATCGACTTGGATTACATTCGTAACATTTTAACAAAGGATTTCCAATATTTTGTCGACCGGCCCTTTTATGTCAATGAGAAGGACCCACTCCAAGCCCATCTTTTGAATCTGAGTGGCACTAGATGGCGAAATATGAGGTCAAAATTGACCCCGACTTTTACCTCTGGTAAGATGAAAATGATGTTCCAGATAATGGCTGAAAGTCAGAGTGATTTATTTAGAAGAACGGACAAAGAAGTAAAATCACTTGAACCGATAAATATCAAAGAAATTTTGGCCTGTTTCACGACGAATATCATTGGATCTTGTGCGTTTGGACTCGACTGTAAGGCTCTGGAAGATGAAAATTCGCCGTTTAGGGAGTTTGGAAAAAGAATATTCAAGACGACAGTTTTCCAGCGTTTCAAACGCACTTTTGCGGCGACTTTTCCCGACTTTGCTCGATTTCTCCGACTGTCGAGTGGTCGGAAAGAAAATGCGAAGTTTATCATGGACATGGTGGAAAGCACAATTGACTATCGCGAAAAAAATAATTATTCGAGAAATGATTTTATGCAACTAATGATCGATTTGAAGAACAATAAACCGAAAGGTGACCATGACGGCAAACCCTTGACTCTTGACGAAGTTGCATCTCAAGCAATAGTCTTCTTCGCTGCTGGATTTGAAACATCGTCAACTCTTATGACTTTTGCCTTCTACGAACTTGCCAAAAACCCTGACATCCAAACTAAGTTGAGAGAAGAAATTAACTCAGTTTTGGCCAAATACAATAATGAAATAAGTTATGACGCCATCCAAGATATGAAATATTTAAACCAAGTGGTTGATGAAACGTTAAGATTGCATCCTCCAGCAGCTCAAACCAGCCGAAGATGCATCAAAGATTACAAAATACCAGACCAAGATGTTGTGATTAAAAAAGGTACAAGTGTTACAATTTCAATTTTGGGAATTCATCACGACCCAGAATATTATCCTGACCCGGAAAAATTCGACCCGGAACGATTTACTGAAGAGAATAAGAGCTTGAGGCATAACTATGCCTTTTTGCCTTTTGGTGAAGGTCCCCGGAATTGTATTGGTAAGTCATTTCTTGGTGTTTTAGAATTTGGGATTAATTTGTGTTTTAGGAATGCGTTTTGGCCTGTTGCAATCAAAGATGGGTTTGGTTGCGTTGATCAAAAATTATAAATTTACGGTGAATAAGAAGACCAAAGAGCCAATTACTTATCAACCGGCACATGTCGTTCTCGCTGCTCAGGGAGAAATCTGGCTCAATGCTCAAAAAATATAATATTTTTTAATTAAAACACTAATAGATAGTTATTTAAAACAAAGAAGATTAAAAAACATGAATTACCTACCTCGTTAAAATTTTTTAAATAGAAAATTTATGTAATATCGGTTTCTAATTGCTAAACGAAAATTATAAAATAGGTTGTAAAATTGATCTGCTAATCATACTAGTCACTTACCTATCTTTTACAAAAAAGTTAAAACGATTTAAATTCAATAAAAGCACTGGATGTAATACCTGTTCAAAATTGTTGAGAATTGATATGCCAGACATAAAAACTTAGATTTTCTTACAATGCAATCATATTTAATACTTGTTTAAAATAGCAGTGAATTTTTTTTACAATAAGTTCATAAAAACATATTATCTGTTTTGAATTGCACTTGAATATTTAAACATTCACAAACACCTATTCAAAATTGTAGTAGATTTAGAACTGTAGATTTAAATTACAAGTTTAGTGTACATATAATGTATAATAATATTAATAAAAAATGTATGTAGTATCTATTTAAAAATTGCTGTAGAGTGTATGTAGACTAATTCCTCAAAGACGCTTAAAAACTTAATTTATTTACAACAGTTGACAAAAATTTGAAAAAATTGTAACACAGAATCAACAATAAATGTAATACTTGTCTAAAATTGCTGAAAGATATGCCAGAAATGCCTAAAAAGTTAAACAAACTAAAACTTTACGTTTCTTTGATTTTCTTTTTTAATTTTTTTGTGGATAAAATTTTTACTGATTTTTTGGTAAGGACGCATTTTAAATAGTTAATGTAAATAAGAGACAATGAGAATATGTGGTGAAATCTTTTTTAAAGTTTATTATGAAATAAGTAAATTCATAGAACAAAAACTTCTTTTTTCTAGTATTTAAAGTAAGATATCAATTTGTCTGTTGTTACCAGAATTTATATAGGTGTTCCAGAGATCCGTATTTCTTCGATTACTCTGACAGTAAAGAAGATAACAAAATGCTGTTTCTTTTGGACGATAGACATTATATTTTTCTAAGATCCAAAAATATTTTCGTCATTCTACGTGATAATAGAATGGCGCAACAAAGTTATATTTTTTATGGAACATCCGGTATATTATGTGCTTATTTAAAAGAGTTTTTAATTCAAAGAAAATCCATATTAGGTTTTATGGATCTATCATGGACCGTTTATGAGCAATTTATGGACAAAAAATTAAACTGCCAATGTGATGAAATTTAAAACCCAAAGAAAAATTATTAAGTCCAAAATCAAGAGAAAAATAAACTTTTCTTTTCAATAAATCAGAATAAAGCATTTTTAATTTCAGATTTGTTCGTTTCAGGTGAAGCAAAAAATGTTTTCCTTTTGCAGTTTTGGGTAAAACCAAAAAAAAAAACTGTATAATAAATAGTACATAAATTATAAAAAATAACAATTATTTTAATATTTTATTACAAAACTAAATGCAATCAGAAAATTAAATAGATGAATTTTTCAATATGTCACTAAGATTGTAAACTTCAATTTTCAACATTAATAAAAATTTCAATCTTAATGTTTTAATGTTACTAATAAGATAACAAAACTTCAGGAATGGTGTTCAACTTGCACACATATTTCTTATTCACTTACAAACTATTTCATCCATTAAAAAAAATTAGAAGCAAGGTTAATAACTTTTCTCGCTTGTGCTACCGTTAAAATTCCCGTTGAGGTTAAACACAGTTAATTGAAATAAAGTAATAAAGATCAATGCAATTTATTATTGTAAATCCCCATCTCTCTTACAAGCGGTGGGTGAAGAAACTAAGAAGGAGGTAGGTACAGCTCGAAAGAATATTACCAAAGCCCACACCTTTCTAAAGGGTGCGACTTTCTTCAGTCTGTAGAGTGTAGAGCACACTAAAATTTCAATAGTAGAGAAATGAAGACCGTAACTGTCGTACTTCTGATATTCGCAACGGGTGAGTTATTGTTTACTTTATTTTGTGACAAAAAAAGTAATTTCATGCCCCAATTAATGCTTTCTACAACAAAAATAATAAACTTGCATTAATTGTTTTTTTTAACTAACATTTTATTGAAACATCTCAACAAAACTGATTTAACTTGTTTGATTGATTTTTAATTATTTGGATTAAATAACGGTGTAGAAGTTATTTTCGAGCATAATTTCAACTGTTAGGTAACTGCTCTCTTTTAAATTAATGTGTTGATACTGCGGTAACTGGTGTGTAACTAAATTTATGTCGAAAGTTGATATAAAGCTTTAAGGAAGTAGAGTTAAGGTTATGTTTACGTGCGTAATGTTCTATTATAAAAAATTGGATAAATTATTTCAATAAAAACATTTTATTTAAATACATAATATGTAACCACAATTTTTTCTTTTATTTAAGCACAATCTTGTTATGCAAGCAAATTTATTTATACAGGCTGATTTAAAATTACAGAAACAGAAGATACAAGTCATTTCACACATTTCATACATTTATTATTCAGTGTTTCCATTTCGAATTCAAAATCACAAACCACTTTGACCACAAATTAAATAAAAAATAAAGTCAGTGCTGCAAATTATGCGCAGATGTGGTTAATTCACCACCACGAATAAACAATACTTTTTTTTTGAGATTTTATATAAACTTCAGGTATGTTTGTTTATAGTCTATTTTTTGTAACATCTAATGAAGTTACAAAAATAAACAGAATAGGTAAATTGTAAATATATGTGCTTTATGACATTTATTCTGTGATTTAATATTTTTTTTAAACGAGTTATAAATAATCAAAACTATTGTTGGTGTTTTACAAACGACCTACCAATGGTAATATTTACGTTAGTAACAATGAATTAAAAATAAGTGTTTCTTATACCATTTTTTTTTCAATTTTAGACCCCATAATAAAATAATGCATTATTCAGACATAGACAATTTGTTTTTTATAATATATTAAAAGTTGTCACTTTTGGGATACGCTGTGTAATAAAAGCAAAAGCAACACGTCGTTCAGCTATTTATACAGATATCAGAATTTTTGCTTTCTTTACAAATTATTATAAATTCTTCTGTCCTAATAGTTACTTAATGAGTTATAATTATAAAACCACTTACTTATTTATGCAGCAATATTTCTAAAAAGTGTGATCTACTTAAGTCTGAAATAACTCATGAAATATTTTACGACGCTTCAAAGCTAA